GGACAATCCCTTTAAATGGGCCCTGCCATCATATTTAAGCGTCTACCTTTTTTTGCGGTTTCCATGTCCCTCAGGGTTCGGGCAAGCCAGCGGGCACGGAGAGAGTAACTAAATATCAGTGCGTCATATTTTAACCGAACGACGCAGAAACCTCCTCCACCTACGGGGGCGACCCGCGGTGCCGAAAGCGCGCGATATGTGACGTCTTAGGTCCTGGGCTTAGTACTGGTCAGAGCCGCTAAAAGCCTCTCTTTTTTTTTTTTTTGTCGAAATACAAAATATAAGCGGCGCGAACCGTTTCATTTATTTATATAAGTAGTTTTTGTTCAGTATTTTAGATCACAAAAGTAACAAATGCAGTTTATAAAGTACGCAAACAAGAATTATGACCCGTCGACATACCCGCCACCAAGCGGTGGAAAAGGCGGCGCACACTAGAAAGGTGTAGTGGGATCAGACCACTGATCTCAATGACAATTGCTGGATCGCGCTTGCCGCTCCCGCAAGTGAAGCCACCGGGCCTCACTCGCTTGGGATACGATTTGCCGTTTTTGCTAGCCTTTGCTGCGGTTTTCCAGCGTGCTGACGACACGTTTTCTACTCGTTCGTCGTCATTCGCCGAAGAAGTTTTTTGAAGACTCTGTGTATTGTTGAGACTCGCCGTTGTGAACACATGGAAAAGTTTACGAAAGTGCAGTGTCGCAGGAAAAAGGCACAACGCGTCGAAAGGAAGGGCTGGCGGCGTGTTCAAAGCATCCTTGGCACGCCGAAGTGCCGTGTCTCTGTGCCTTCGCGCGCTTGGATACCGACCAAGAACCGACGCCGTGTGAATGTGTTTAGCGAGTGCAATGTGCGCTAAGCTAGCCCTAAGCTAACAGTGTTGTGGAAGCTACGTGCTCCTTGGGCCAGCCACACGCTCGTCACCCAACGGGTACTTCGAACGGCTCGGTTGTAACGCCTTGACGCTATTGACACCACCACAACGCTGACAACGCTACCAACGGTAAAGCTCATAACCACGCCAGCCTTGCTACGCCACGAATGCGGGAAATCTTTTCTTTCTGTTTTTGTTTGCGTCGGATATCCCATGACGCATTGCGCTGTCCGTTCGCTTCTCTTGGAGCGCTTGCTCGAGTGCACCGTTTGGAACGAAAAATATAGCCAGTCGTTCAAAATACAAACGTGCGATTATCATTTGCGGTTATTATCAGTCGTGCTTGACTCATTTCCAAACGAAATATGAATATTTCAATTTTAGTTTCCGTACCCCTTTAACTCCTATAGAAACGCAGCGAAGCCACCGGTCTTTACTGGTTGGAAGACCGGCGGCTTCGCTGCGTTTCCATAGGTGTTAAGCCTTTTTCTTTTTTTCCCTTTTTCATCAGGTAAGTTTGCTCTTTGCGAATTTTATAGAAAAAAAAAAAATGCACCACCTGTGGCCAACGCTGTACAAAATCGGAACGCGATAGGTTAAGAAACCGATTTTTGCGGTCGATTGAAAGAGTGCTTAAAATCGAAAGAATAAAACACGGAGGACAAGCACGGGACAACCGCGTTCTTTCATTTATCAACGACGTTTATTTTGGGCAAGAAAATTGCATCCTGAACGAGATCCCAACTAAGATGGGGTGATAAGGGGGAAGGAAATATTGGGGGATGAAAAGGGGGAGGAAGAACCACGAGGCGCGGGCAGAACTAGTGATGGTGTAATTTTCTTTCTTTTCTTTTTTTTTTCTTTTTTTTTTTGTGCAGGGAGTTGCGATATCTTTCAAGTTCAACTCGCTCGCACCACCAGGCCGCTATTTGGGACACGCAGTATAGAGCTGTCGGGATGACGTCAGGTGCAACGTTACGCAGAGCTGTCGGGATGACGTCAAATGCAACGTTACGTTCTAGGCAGCGTTATTAGGTTAGCTCAGTTACGTAACTGCTCATAGACCAATGAGGATAGAAGGGTAGGAGAGGGCATGACGTCAGTCGCGTAGCCTCCACAAGCCATGCTCCCTTGACGCCTCGTCTCTTTCTCATTTTCCTCCTTACTCTCCTCACTTATCAGCGCAACGTGACTACATCACGTGACCGTAGCTAGCCTTCTAGTACACCCTACCTTCGTCTAGCCTTCGATCTGATAAAACCCACCGGACGGAGCGCACGCAAGCAAATACGATCTAGCTTCGCCAATACTAGAAACTCCTGCGAAAACCTATGGGAGCGGCGGCGAACGTGACAGTGGCGCCTCTAGCGGACTCGGAGTCTACGGAAGCAGACGACGCAACGTCCTCGAGCTTTGCGTGTCCCGTTTCTTCACCCCAACAGCTGAAACGATTCATTACGGTCAGTCCGCTTGCAAAGCGGAATCCACTGATCGCAACTGCAACGACAAACAAATAACAACGCGCGCATAAACAAAGATAGAGCAGTTTATTTAGAAGTCTCAAACGTCACTCAGGGGGATCACACGCGTTTGAAGCGCATCTGGGAAGCGGAAAAAAAGGCGTTTAGCTACTCGAACTACGTCGTAAGAGAGAGGTTACTGTTTATCCGTTACGAGCTGCGTTGTCACAATTTCTTACCCGAATAGGTGATAATTAAGACGTGCGAAAACAACATGTAATATTACCAGAGCAAGCGCACCAGCCTCTGCAGCATTACAAAAACGAAAAGTAACGAGAAAAATGACCGTGAAAACACTTTCCGAACTTTGCAGAAATGACGGGGACCTCGTCCCAGACGAAAATAAAAAGAAATGGGGTACAGTCGTGAACAATGGCGAATATGGAACAAAAAAACAGTCGATACAAAAATAGAAATCACTCTACAAAGACCTCCTTCAACGACGACGATCGCACGGGGCGTCGGTAGAAGCATTGAAAATTAGCAGGTGGTGCTCGCCGTTGGTGTTGAGTCCACAACAAACAAAGCGGAAGCAACACAACGAAGCTACTAACAAAAAAAGAGAGCTTCAAGGAGCTGTGCAACGATATTCAATTGGAATGTTTTTCTCTCTACCCGAGCTCACTGGCACACCTGGGACTCAAGGATACTCACACGCAACGCCACTGGCCAAGAAACGCCTTTGTTGCGGTGTAATTTCAAGGACAAAAGCGATCATTTTCATTCAATCTCTCCTTTGCAAAATTTGATGACGTAACTCGGGGATCGCAGTACACCCAAGTGACGATATTTGAATGCGGCTCATAGATTGGACCCAAGCATTGCGTGGGCACTCGACTTGGGCTCGTGACAATTGCTATCTCGAGAAGCATTCGGGTTGTAACCCGTGTCCAATCGCTGCAACGACGACAATAGCCGAACCATAACAATGTCTGGAACTCAGCGCGTGTCCTGCGCTTTGCCAACCCCAGCGCGTGGCTATGATCAACATTGGCGGCATATAATCGGCTCCAGATCACGTGGCCGCTTGTTCTGGCTGCGAGTTGAGGGGGTGAATGCTGCTCGTTGTTCTTAAATTTTTTTCTGGGACTTCTATTGCGTGGGGTGAAAAACGAACGCGTGTTTCATAGGTCATTAACGTTAGGGATCCGTTTTACGCGGTATTTGTACAAAGTACAAAAATTGTTGCATTGCTCCTTTCAATTATGTTTTTATAGCTGCTTGTTACACGTTTGTTTATTTGCTTTCGCGGCGTTGGTGGGAACTAAGAACAAAAAAGAGGAAAGGAATAAAGTGGTCCAGCTCACACTGCCCGATATATAAGAGTCGTCGCACGCTGCAAACTGCTTCGTGCTAGCAGTGTGTGACGTGTTTTTGCTTTCGCATTTCTTTTCAAAGTGACTTTGGCAAGATGTTTGTTTTCTCGCTTGGCGCAGCAGTTCAAAAGTATATTCCAGTATTTGTTGACGTACTTTTCTAGCCAATCCTTGCACACCGTGCCTTTGTTTTGAGTGTCGATCAGCGGCCTCAAGTGCGTTTTCAGCTTAACTCTTGTTTGGTGAAATATTCTTCTGTTGAGGCGTCCGTGGCGATTTTGAAGCCAGACTTAAATAACTGTTCCAGTTTAATTTGAAATAGCTTAATTACACACGTTTGTTCGGTCTTCGGGAAGCGGAAGAAGGATTTTCCACCACATCACAAAAACTTGTCTTTGCAATGGAGATAACAGCCACATGGCATGCCTGCCATCTCCAAGTATGCGCTGGTGTATGCCCGAAGGCGGCCGGTTGATCAACCAACGATGACCCATAGCAGACGTGACCGCGTACTCAAATAAAATTTGAATAGAAATGTATAACGAGCTTACACTTCTTAATATACTGATCCTAAGGTACTGATCCTTTTGTTAAATTTTGGGGGAGATTGTAGAGTTATCTTTGTGAATCGGCACGAAAGCCGTTTATAGCGCTACTTTGTGTATTGGAGGGTCTGGCGTTTGGACTGTTTAGAGGCTGCCCCTTTGTGTTGGTAGGGACTGATTGGAGGGTTTGGCGTTTGAACTGGTTAAAGTTTCCCCTTTGTGTTGGTGGTGGTTGATTGTGGGCTATATAAGGAGGAGGACTAAATAAACCTGGTAGCTGAGTTTGAGACGTCGTCCTGTCCCTTTCTATTGCTTCGACTTTTATGTTCATTTCCCCCATGGAAAACCAATGCGCTATGGAGAATTCGTCTGCTAGCGGAGACTCCGAGCTCGCCAGGAGCGCTGCGATCACTTTTCGTCCGCTATCCGCGGGAGTTGCCAGTATTGGCATGCATGGTATTTGGTTCCAGTGCGTGTGAAATGGTGTGAAACGACCTCGCTATTAATTTTTTATGGCTTCGCCAGCTTCACTACTCCAAGCAACTTGTGTTAAAAAAAAAAAAAAAACACTTGCTTGAAAAGTTAATTGTTTATTTTTTTAATAACGCGGTTAGTTGCTAATTTGAATTCCTAATGTACTAATTATAAAATAAATTGCTAACCCACCCAAGTAATGAGAGCTCCTCACCACGGATGACGAATTTGGCGCTACTGTATAAAAGTTGACTCCGTTAGCCCGCCCACTGACAGGTGGCTCTGCCACTGACAGTGAGCCCAGTAGGAGTTGCCCAGTTCTGGACCAGTCTGGCATGAGACGGTGATCTTGCAAAATGTGTGTGCCGCAAGTGTTTACACTAACTTGATAGTGCGCACGATGTCGGTCAGGGGACGAATTTCGAGTGCCCTGGACGTCCTCCTAAGGGTTCCGCCAGTGTTTGTGATGGACGCTGTCTTAAATTCCAGCCTAGGCTTAGGAGGCGAAAATATTGTCACGACTCACTACTCTGCCCGTAAAATAAAAGCCGACAGCGTTGACATTAATGCGACGAGCCCCGAATTTGAGAACGATCATTTTGCGTATCTGGACGTGCCGACGTTACTTTGGTTCTTGCTATACCTTCAAGGTAAGGCCCGTCATTTTCATGCTTGTCGAGTTCCTCCATTGCACGCAGTTAGCCACGATCACTGGTTTTACGCACGTCTGTTGCGTTGCTTCAACTTGCATATTGAAACCCCCTCCCCCCTTAGTCTTATGTAATGAGGGACTGAACACTGATTGCAAATAAAACAAAACTACAAGAAACACTACTCATGGAAATTGAATCCCGGAAAAAAATATCACAGGAGAATAATAGCCTACTGGAGATGAGCTCACCCAATTACGTGCGGGTCCGGAGAAAAGCTCACCAGTCTTTCGATAGACTCAGAAAAAGCTCACTTGGAATTACATTATTCAATCTGGTGTTTATTTGTTTACTATTTATTTAATGGTGTGAATTCTAGCGCCGGGTTGAATGTTTGAGTGCAGTGGTGACAAAATCTGCAGGCATGTCCCATGTAGGTGTTTTCCTCTTTCATGCCGATCGTCTGTACGTGGGTGTTGCCATAGTTAATTAAACATGTAAGGGTTAATATTTAATTATATCAACTTCCTTTATTTAGCCATTGGAAGAACTTAGAATCTTAAATGTCGAAATGTGAAGTTTTGGAAATGCAGTGTTGGTTACGGGTACTGGACATTTCATAGAATAGAATAAGTAGACAATTCATTGACGTTTCATAGAATAAGTTGACATTTCATTGACGTTTCATAGAATAAGTTGACATTTCATTGAACGCCGCTTCATTGAATTTCACTTCACCGAATTTTGGAGCATTTTGCAGCATTTTAGTGCTTTTTAGATGCTTTACTCTCGCTTCTGATTTGTTTTTATGCTGTTGTTAAATCTCCAGAAATAGAATTACCACCCTGGTCACTTTGCACCAAAACTTTGGCTTTCGAATCGTAGGACATAAAACTTGAGTGGGCATGCGACTTGTTGTTTTCAAATAAGGCTGTACTCCACCACATGCCTTGTTCCCTATTGGTTCACGCATCAAAGGCGCATTTGGAAAGGAATATTGTTATTCTTTGTTGTGCCTTTTTTTATTTTGTATTTATCTGTTTACTTGTGTTTTCACTGTATGTATCTAGGAGGATAGCTTCCTTTCTAAGAACATATGTTAAAAAGCCGGCAGGCCCACGGCTCTGCCGACTATGGAAAATGAACAAAAACGAGAGACAATTTTTTTTTTTTGTTTCACGCGACGTGGAGACATGTCATTGCTTCAAGGACTGCTTCATACTTGAACAGAATACATCTCTTCAAGGACGAGGATACACCCTTGAAGGGACAGACCTTCATCACTGCACCCGATGACCACAGGTTTCACGAAATGTCAAGCAGCGTTCTGTTCATTATTGGCCACATTAGCGAAGCAAGTTATCATTTATGATTAAAAAAATATGAATAGAAGGTGTAGGGGAGAAAATAAAGTTTCTTATTATTAGTTTCCCTCGCTCTAGGAAAAGAAAGGTCTGCTGTTCTTCCGGCGTTAAAAAAAAAACCTATTTCCTAGATCAAAAATTCCTACTGCTCAACTGGGCGGTGTTCAATGAAACGGCATTCCATGAAATGGCATTCAATGAAATGGCGTTCAATGAAACGTCCGGACCCAATTGGTTACTACATACAACCTACTACATTGGTTATATTTTGCCCGAGCTTTCCTTCAGTTACCATTCGATAGACATGTTTTATTTAATTTTAGTCGTGCAACCCATGATCTGTATATACAGCATGTAATCTAATGCTTCTAAGGCACTTTAGATGGCCTGCAAAAATCTTTTTCAACGTATCGCGCTGCAATTTCCTACAGAGATGCAAGCAGGTCGTGGTGTTCTGGGCAATCTACCCTTTGCAGACGATGGACGTGTAGAAAGAAGTGCTGCCGACAGATGACGTATGGTGCGTCGAGGGAGCGTTGGCCTATTCAGGCTCTTTTGCGAGATAGTCTGCTATCAACCTGAATTGGCCGGCGTTCTCTCAACGTGGCGTACGCCATCTGTTGGCAGCACCTCTCTTACGCGTGCATCATCTGCGAAGTGGTGGCATAGATTGCTCAAAACAAGATTTTGTTGCGTTTCTTTTGAAAGAAGTTCATTCCTTGGATTCTGCAGTAAGTTGCAGTGCGATACGTTGAAATAGGAATACATGGTATAGGGGAGAAAATAAAGTTTCTTATTATTCGTTCCCCTCTCTGTAGGAAAAGAAAGGTTTGCTATCCTTCCGGTGTACTTAAAAAATAAATTAGTTGTTAGTGAAGTCCAGAACAACTGCATGCACGTATGGCATCGAAACATGCGTTCGTTGAGTGAACGCATGTTCACTCAACGAAGAGATTCGTTGGTGACCTTTTCTCCGCATCCATCAAAAGGCCGCCGCCCATAGAAATTATAGTTAACGACAGGTTAATAATTCAGTAGATATTCTGCCTCTAATGCAAAGTCGTTTTCTTCTGCCTGACTTTGGCTCTGTGTGCGCCGATGGCACAGCATCTACTGTCGTCTTAACCTGTCACTGACTGTAGTCAAACACCTCCATACAATGATAAAGTTTGCCCTTTCCACAGCACAACATCCGGTGTCTCGCTATTGGCCGACTGCACAGTATGTCATGGATACTAAAGACACCAAAGCACAAGTAAAAAAATGTCTTGCAGAGCAAATGCAACAGACTGCATCGAACTTTGCAGCAATATTGTTTGCTGCTGCTATAAGTACTGTGTCCCCTGCCAAAAATAAAAAAAATGCATTACTTTTTTATTTGCAAAAATAAAGAACAATTCATCAAACGCTTAGCTTCTGCCTAAATGTAGCACTAGCGGTTCGAACCAGAAGCCAGAGTTTCAGAACAAACGGTTGTCTTGTTCAAGTTATAGGCAATTCTTGAACATTTTCAATGGTAAAATGGTTTCCGCAACGCCAAGAATACATGGGGCTGAATGGCGCAAACTACTGAGATCACAGCCCCATCTTCCTAGTGAAAGTTTAAAAAAGTCGCCTCAACTTTTGAATAATGGTTCGTTCCGAAACTTTGGCATCTGGTCTGGACTGCTAGCGCTGCATTTGGGTGGAGGCTGAGCGTTCAGTGATGCATTATTTATTTTTGCAGTAAAAAAGAAGGAAAATAAATGTTGTAAATTTTATGGGGGGAAACGCCGCATGTAAAACGTTTTGAGATAAAAAACTTGTGATCCTTTCCATCTTCATGCCCCAGGGCACATAACAAGTTAGAGCCAATAAACATCAAAATGAGATCTTCCAACCTGCCCAGTGAAATGCCTCAGTATTAGCGAGAATTCCTGGACAGGAAACTGTACAAGACGTTGACACAGTAAGAATATAAATTTGATGCAATAAATTGAGTTGCCACGTAATTATTTTGGGACAAGCCTTGGCAGAGGGGTGGACGGCCTTCTGTCGACTCTGGGATGCTTCCTCCCAGCAATTTATGTGCACCCCCAGAATTTCCTTCACAAAGTATACAAAGCCAGGGCCAGAGCCCATCCCAGAAATTTGAAACACCCCCTCAGATTGTCAATCCTGGGTAAACCCCTGCAGTTCCTTCACTTCATTTGAGTGAGTATGCTGACCAGACGAGCATCAAACAATTCTAAAAAAAATAGCTTGTAAAAGTGGGTGATGTCAACCAATGTTGTCACCCATATCAATGAGATGCAATGCCCATCGCCCTCAAATATGGCATCCAGTGAATGGGGTATTCAGTGGACACCATATTTGAGGGCTATGTTTAGAATGCATGCTCAGAATGAGCTTACATTAACAGGCTGCTAAGACCGGACAGCTTGATGGTGTGGAATGCACGTTGCAGAAGAACTGTGGAAGATTGCTGTCAGCATGCGCTCAGCAGTCACGCACACAACTATGGCCGCCAGTGCATACTCCCTACACTCGGGTACAACTTTGAGTGGGAATTCAGAAGTGAAGACGGTGTTTGCATGGCCTTGATCGGTGCTCGAGGTGGACGTGCACTCGGTGGCAATTGCTTGCTTCGTTATCCCAGAAAGCTGCCTTCGAGCAGTATCATTTAGTGAAGAGCTTCTGGTCGGTGCCATTCTCGGCGTTCGCACATATGGCATATTTTTACTTTCTTTCCAAAGCGATTAACTCGGGCCTTCGGGGCAATGAGGATTGCATGCTTGGCTAAACGTTTGTAACCCTAGATCGACGTGCGGTCGTGTTAGTAAGGGCTAGGAATTATTCTTCACTGGCAAAATTACTCACTTAACACGTTAACTGGTGCAGCCATATTTGAAGGGCAGGCTGACGACACAATGCCTAAAGAAATGCTTTTGCATTTAAAATAATTCCTGTAAGCCATGTTTTTTTTTTTTCAACAAAATGTTCAGCGACTGGATAGAAAAACGAGGGAAATTCATGAAGCGTTTGGCATCAAAACAAGGGGTGTCGATAAGTGTATCAGTGAGCCCTCTGTGGCCCTGTTAGCCAAGGAAATGTTATTTTTAGAGAGAGAGTGGGGTGGCCAGAAGTGACGTGGTTTTATTAAAGTATCTAAGTCAGTGTGTTTTCTAATAAACTTTCAGTTGCGAGTGCGCTCGTTGCCTTTTTCACTTTGTCCCCGTCCTTTAATACTTCTATGCAGTCAATGTTTTTTTTGTTTTTTCTTTCGTCAACTCAAATTGCCCATGTGGCCATATCTAGACATTAGGTTCATTTCGGGGTGAAAATCTTCAAGCCCCTCCGTAGGCTGGCAAGATATTGTAAAGCAGCTACGTATCGTCATTTTGAATTTTGTCGAAGTGCAGATAAGGGTTGACATTAACTTTGTCTGACATGCGTCGGACATAGTCCCCGAGTTCATGTTTAAAGAAAACAATGAATAACCTGCGGCAATTGGCTGGTAAACTTTCGTAGCCAAGTTCAAGTGATTTTAGTATGCAAACTACTTGTGAACGCTTCCACGACAACCGTCACAATGCGGCTTGCACTCGTTACAGCACCGTGCAGGAAATAAAACACAACACGTTTTTCAATTTTCATAATAACTGACCAGCTCTTCATTTCAGACAATTCTTGTAGAGTGAAATCTTGGAATCGTTTGGTAAAACGTGCGCCAATAATCCTGTTTAGTCTCATGCTCACCGAGGGAGCTCCCCATCACGGCTTGTGTGAACTTTTCTTAGGCGAGTCGAATTACAAATCTAGTGCCCGTTCGGAGCCCAGAAAGCAACGAGCTTGTGATTTTAGAAGCTGCTTCCAATGTGTGTCCTTGCACGCAGCATGAACATCTTGTTTGGGCATTGACCTCGTGCCAATTGTCTTTGTTCTCAGGCACATAGCCAGGGGAAAGGCCCGGCTCACCCCCCCCCCCCCCCCCCCCCCCCCTGAAATCTTCCATTTTGCTGGGTCCTTCTCTCACCCCTCCTCTCGTACAGCATTTTGTCATCGGCGCCCCCCCCCCCCCCCCCGAAATCTTCCATTTTGCTGGGTCCTCCTCTCCCCCTTATACAGCATTTTGTCATCGGCGCCGCCCCCCCCCCCCCCCCTTGAAACAAAGTCCTCGCTATGTGCCTGTTTGTTCTGCACTACAATAAAGTAGAAAAAAAAAAAATTTGGGTTAGGGGTGATAGTTTAGTGCAGCAGAAGCTACAGCGAGCTCCGATCTCTGGGCTTCTGCCAAGCACGCTTGCTTGTGTAGTGCATGCATTATTTATGGCAACATGCGCGTGTTTGTACCCTCGACCTGACCCTCACATAAAGTGAAAATAAATGTATTAATACAATATACTCTCGATGATTCACTCGGATATTTCATACCTCTGGTTAATTCACAAAAATTTTGGTTGTCCCACTGTTTTTAATGTATTCATAAGCCGCTTAATTTGAACGGCGTTTTCGTGCAATTCATACTTTTTGTTCTCGTGACCCCGCTGAGTGCGCTTATTTTCGAGCACCGGTGCACTGCCGAGAGGAAACACCCACGGAGCTTGCTTCTGCGTGTGTTGCTTCTCCGCAGTGCACCGGTGCTCGGTGAGAAGCGCACTCAGCGGGGCTGAAGCAGGGCACACACGAGCTATAAAAACGAGCACCACGCGGTTATTTCCGTCGTAACTTGCGCGGACGCGGCGTCGTGGAGGCATGCCATTAGTCCACGTCATAGCGTCCGCACAAGTTGCTGTGAAAACTGCCGCGCGGTGCCCGTTTTCGTCGCTCATGTGTGCCCTGTCTAATAGTTATTCACATTGGACAACTTCTTGGCTTGAACATACTTAATGTTGTTTTGAGTTTTCATGTGCTGTCTAAGCAGTCCACGATAAACAACATTTTTGAGGGATAAATGAACTTGTCATACATTTCGCAATGTTTCGTGTGTGGCATTGTCTGCTTATGATCGGTAGGCCTATGTAGAGGAATACATCAAATATCTTGTGTTTAAAAGGGACGAATTTGGAAAGTGTATTGTGGACAAAAACTGAAATAAACTATTCTATTCTATCTGCTTTGTATGTGTAGCCATTCATATGGTAAATCCTAATTTTATGGTGCATCATATTTAGATGAATTTCTGATAATTCAAACAAAATCCATGGCTTCCTGGAGTTTGAATTAATGAGTACTGTATTTACAGGCAAAGCAAAGGTGTGCAAGCCTAGATCTGCCGAATGCTTTTGTTTGCACAAGATTTCAGGCATGAACTGCACTTTCCAAGGTCACATGCTCAATGCCGTGCTTTTTTCAGCTGTGGAATTGTTTGTGAGATGGAATACAGAGCATGCACTGCCTGTAACTGGAAGCAGAAAAAAACACCTCTAGAAAAAGCACCTCATAAACTCCTGAATAACACCACCGCAGCAGCAGCGAATTCCTCGCGGCAAAGTTATACTGCACTGCACTAGCTCGTTGACCACTGCCACGTGGTGTTTAGCGAGCATGATCACGGGATGACAAAACTGCATAGAGCCCAAAAAATGGTGTTTAGCAGACGGATGTTTTATTTTACCGAATCGCAAACTTTCTCAATTCATTTCGTAACGACAGTGCATCAAGGAATTATACTAGCGGATATAGATTCAGAAACGCATTTCACGCCTGTGATGTAGTACAATTTGTATTTATCCTTTAATTTAATGTTTCGGATGCTTGAAATTTTTTTTGGGGGGGAATTTGAGTTTTCATAAATTTTGCAAAGCTGTTGAGTTTTTTTATTATCTTTCAAATATAACCACTGACACCAAAGGTTCAGTAGCTGAGAACAAGGAGCAAAAAAATTGACCGCATCTCCACGTGGTGAATGATGTTAATTGGGGCAAAGCTCTGGTGGTGCTTGTCTGCGTATACGCTGAGCCGCAGCATGACGAGCCTTTCATTCGTTTTTATCCATGCCAGAAAGAGAATGTGTGGTATGGAACGTGGTTATGTACGCATTTGAGCATTTGACCACAGCGCCCTCTCGTCTATAAACATTGAGCCAGTGCATGCAAAGTTTAACGCGATTATATACGCATTTGACCGCAGCGCGGTCTGCTGTATAGACGTTGGGCGGCTACATGCAACGTTTCATCCATGACATCCCCAGCTCTTGAGTTACTACCACATTTCAGAGCCCCCTACTCGTCCCGCAGCTGTGACCGAGTGGTTAAGGCGATGGACTAGAAATCCACTGGGGTCTTCCCACACAGGTTAAAATCCTGTCGACCGCGCAAAATTTTTTATTTTTTTTTTGCCCTACACGAGCACGTGAGCTCACGAGCACGAGCACCAGCAAGATTGATGTGAGCACGGACGCCGGACAGACAAGGCTAGAGCCTAAGGAGCTTTGCCCCTAAAAGTTGCCGTAGGAAATGCATGGGCTCTTATTGTGATATCCTCTATAGGGGCGACTATGATCTCTGAGGATCGGCTTCTTCCGAGAGCAGGTATGACCATTGAACCGCAGCAATTTCTTCCTCTTCTAAGAAATTTGTAGGAGTCTTGAGGGCCGAAAAATAAATAAGAAAATATAAACGAGGAAATAATAAATAAATAAACCCAAATAAGCTTTAAATACAAAAATGTAAACTAGAGCAAACATTTTAAGAAATGTAAGGTGGATATCAACATATACTTAATCTTGAAATTTCATGTTAAATACGACACTGGAATTTAACTGTGGCCCAAGAAACTCACTTGGCACAGATCAAAGTGCATAGGAACTTCGGCATATTCACACAGGGCAGAACACTAATGACAAAGGTCGATCTGATAATAACAATATGCAATAGTTATGACATAGATCACCAAGCACGATATACAGGGTCATCGAGATAAATCCAGACGTTTTCCTGATTTCGTCTCTCATCAATGCAGTGAAGCTAACCGGCTGTATTGCGCTTGTGGCCACGTGATTCGACAGAGCGGACCATCGCATGATAAACAATTTGCGACTCGTAATTTCCAGTTTGACATCCACTCAACATGCCACAAAGCGTCGGTAATTCGGACACTCCTGTCCAGGGCAAAATCTATTTGCACATCAGACACCAACAGAACAGAGGAGTAAACCATCATTACAAATCAAGAAAGTGGCTTCTCTAATGGTTTTATTCAGCGCATCACCCGTTGCCGAGGTCATGCTTTTAACATTCCAACAACTATCAGGTACAGAGTCCTGACACTGCCAGGTCTATTAGTGTCCCCTACAAATAAGGTGCTAGAGAAGCACTGGCACACCTTGTAAAAGAAGGAATACAGATGGCTCACAACCATGTTTCAGTACTTGGGTGCCATATGCCCTGGCCAAAAGATTGCACTATCAAGAAAAGAGCATAGGGCATCGTCTACGAAATTCCCCGCTAACATACAATGGCAAAACTGAGAACTTTCATGAAAGGATTTGCCAGCACAGAAACAATGTGCACAAACGTGACCACGAGTGCAGCGCTGTTGCCGAGCGCTCAGACGTCAACAATCACCATATTAAGTTCAAGAAAATGTCCGTCCTTGCAACTAAGACTCACTCTTGGCAGAGACTTTAGTAGAATCTTGGCATTCAGACACAACCAGGACACGCAAATTAGTGCTTTGGCAATTTATCTTCTGTATAGACACTCTGCAACAGCTGTGCACTGGCATCGCCATAACCGACCTTCAGGACCTTCAGTTTTGTTTTCTCTTATTACGTTTACTTCACTTCATCATTACCACAGCAGGGCACGTTACTGCCATTTTAGATTCTACTGTGCCAGCCTCAGCATTGCCCTTTGTGGAGGCTCGTCAACGCCCACTTCAGTGGCTCTGCATATGGGCAAGACAAAAGAAGGTTAGCAATAACGGCAGTAATCTGGCGCATGTGCAAAGTGTCTATACACCAATGGACTGCGTTATGTGGCAAAGAAAAAGACAACCTCCTAAGAGAAAAAGAAACTACTGTGGTTCAACGGTCATACCCACTTTCGGAAGAGGAAGCTGCTCCTCAACAGTGGCAGTTGACTCTGAAGAAACCAGATCGGTTTCTAAACGTTGGACCCCCTCACATTTAGGAAATGGTTGGTGGCAATTTGAGTTATCATACGCCCCGTGGTTATTTTGAACATTCCAGACAAGGAAACGATCCTACTGAGCTTAAATGACCATAAAAGCCCAAAGAGACAGGCATTGCCAGTGCTTGTTTGTTTAACGCAGCCTTCTTGGGCGCTCTGGTGGTGGTGCTGTTGCCGACGCAGCAGCTCGTGCACGTGTACACCTGGCTGACGACTCTGGGTGCTGTGGCCTGGTCCTACCTGTGCAACCAAGAGTTTGTGGCCTATGCCGAGGCCCTGTCACGCCAGGGCAGCACCAGCCTGCTCCTCGAGCTGCTGCGCCTCGACCGGGGTGCGCTGCTACGCACGGTGGCTAACTACGGCCTGCAGCTGGTGCTGGCCTTGCTGCTTTCGGCGGGGCAGGGGCAGGGCCCCGCAGGCGCCGCCGTGCTTTGCCTCGCCTTCCTGGCCCCGACCCTGGCAAGCCTCTGCCTGCTGCCGGCCAGCCCCTTGGCCGCTGCCGCAGGTGCCCAGCTGCTGCTGGCGCTGCAAGCCCTGGCACGGGGCGGGCCCCTGGGGGCCCTGGCCGGCGCCCTGCGCTCGGGCCGGGCCGCTGTGGCCCAGCTGGGCGTGTATGCACTGCTAGAGGCTCACTGGGCACGCCTCAGGGTGCCCCAGGTACTGCGCCTCTTCTGGCTGGCGCGCATGGCAGGGCAGGCGCTACGGCTGGCTCTGGCCGGCACTGCCCCGGGCCCGGCCGTCTGCGAGCTGGCCGTGCGGGGCTGCGACACGGCCGTGGCGCTCGTCGGCATGGCCAGCGTGGTGGCCGCCCTGGCTCAGGGCCTGGCCTGGGCTGCCCGGCGCACGCTGCTGCTCGAGGGCAGCCCCGAGCGAAGCCTGGGCACCGTGGCAGGGCTGCTCTTCCTTGTGCTGGCCCTCCAGACGGGTCTGACGGGTCTCGAGGCGCCCCGGCGCCTGGCCCGTCTCTACCGCAACCTCTGCCTCCTCTTCACCGCTGTGCTCCACTTCGTCCAGGGCATGCTGGGGCCGCTGCTTGTATCCCTGGGTGCCTCACGGAGCGGTTCGCACCGGCGCCACGCCCGGGCCCTTGCCCTGAGCGCCCTGCTCGTCGCCTTCCCCTGCGGCTTCGTGGCTTACCTGTGGAGGCGCCATGCGGTCAGCCCCTGGCTCCTGGCCGTCACCGCCTTCAGCGCTGAACTGACGGTCAAGGTGGTCGTCTCCCTGCTTGTCTACGGCCTCTTCCTCGTCGACGCTCGGAGAGAGACGCTCTGGGAGCCTCTGGACGACTATGTGTACTATGTGCGGGCTGCAGGCAGCGTGCTTGAATTCTGCTTCGGTGTTTTTCTCTTCTTCAACGGTGCCTGGATATTTGCCTTCGAGTCACGGGGCACCATTCGCGCCTTCATGATGTGTTTCCATGCCTACTTCAACATTTGGCAGCAGGCAAGGGCTGGCTGCAAAGCTCTGGCACGGCGGCGAGCCGCCTTGCACAAACTACACTCACTCCCAGAGGCGACGCCCCAGCAGTTGCGCGACTTTGACGACGTGTGTGCTATCTGTTTCCAAGAACTGCAGGCAGCACGAGTGACGCGCTGTCGACATTTTTTCCACGGAGCTTGCCTACGCAAGTGGCTCTACGTGCGTGACATGTGTCCCCTGTGCCACTCGACTCTGCACAACCAGTGAACGTCGCAAAACAGCATGCACATTATTTATTGCCCTTCTGATTCATTCCACGATGTTACTTGCGCCGCTTGGCCTTGCGCTCACCCTCGGTGGGTCGCGGTGCTGGCAATCCCATGTAGCCACTGCAGTTGCTGGCCCCACAGGCGCACTTGATCCTCTCGTTGCCCCGGCAGTCAAGGTTGTAGTTGAAGGTGAGCTCCGTGCCTGCAAAAAAAAAAAAAAAAAGGGCCAACCATTCCACCTGTAAGCCTTACCAGCTCTGTTCATAGCACATCACCCACTTATCATTCCTGGCAGTTTCACTGCTTACACGGCCTGCTCGACTAGGCCATGGCTGGCTTGACAGGTCAATTTCACCAGAGCCTTCACATTCACGATTAATGCTTAGTTGTGAAATGACTCAGAGTGCCATTTTGCGGCTCTTGGAAAGCGTAGAGGAATTGTTATTGCTACCGGCACTCATATGCCTGGTCTGTTCGGGTCGCGTCAATCATTTCAAGCAAATGTGCCCTCCTGTGGCTAGTTGGAATGCTGGCTGAGCCATCCGCCATGTCAAAGGCTAATTGCAGTACTTTCACCGTGGAAATTCGGTTCACCGTGAAAGATTTTCAGGAGTTCTAAATGAATACTCACTCCTGTTCTAAGGCATCCCTCATGCTCATCAATGGTTTGCAAAATAAACTATTTTCTTCCCCAAAAATATTTCAGTGTGAAAATTTATAACATGTACATCACATTTCTGATTATAACTGTATGCTAGCTACATGGTAGCGTTTGATAATGACAGTATCTCAAAGCTTTTCCGTAAGGAGGCCTATATTATTTAGTCATAAGGGCAAGCGAAGCAAATGCTACTAGAGCAAATTCTATGCTTTTAATGTGCCTGCTATGCACACTCACCTGTGCAGTGCAAGTGTCATTCAAAACAATACATTTGCACTTGTAGTGATTAAAATGCAATTAAATGCAAAGGTGCAAGCGTAGCTTCAGCTTCCCTCCTTGTCAAGGTCAAATAAGGTATAGTAAACATTACTACATAGTGACGAAAGCACTTGTGTCTAAACACAGCAGATGTCATTCTATAGGGAAAAACGCCAGCTAAACGAGCACTTTTCATGCTGTGCGTATCTTCCCTTTGAGAAAAACTGCGGCAGATATCCGCATTGCAGACAAGCTGTTTTCTGTTAATTTGGCCAATCATTTACTTGCAGATTATTATTCTAAGAGCAAAGTCACCTGGCTTCTTTTCAGCACCTGATAAACCTTAACCGCTGGAGGTGAAATTAGAATGCAGTTCCTAGACAGGCTTGTGGAAAGGTTGCACTGCTTTGCAAGGTTGGCAATGGCAGGCCAAATATGCCAGCAACCAATAATTGAGTCTGGTGAAACAAGTCTCCTGATGCCCAGCATAGGAATACCCAGTGCATACTAATGATGATGACCCAGTGATAGTGGTTACCTTCAAGACAGCTATAGCTGGTGAATTTGATCCATTCATTGCCCACGGCAAATTGGGACTTGGGGACCTATATAAACCTTGGGCATGCCATAATAGCTCAAAGGATTCGCCTCCAGATCAACCTAGAGGTGGCACTACTGTCATGCTATTATCATCATTGTGGTGTGAATAGTAATACGATTGCCCCATAGCTTTAGAATTTTCCGTTTATTTTGTTGCATGGCGTCGTTGGAAAGACAATTTTAGCAGAAAATGGTGTGGTGCTAATCGCTGCTTCATTGCAGATCGAAGCATGTTGCGGCATACGGCTGTAATTTAAAGAACTGCCTCTGTGGATGCGTCGTCTGCTGTGGACCAGAGGTCGGCATTTTTGTTAAATTCGTAACCAGCTAAAAACTAAAAAAAAAAGTCCATTCCTTTATCCTTAAACTCTGGACTAAAAGAATTGAAAACCCTCACCGTCTCACTCGCATTAAATTCCTCATTCACAAATTCACCAAACTCCTGAACTCTCCCGGCCTCACTCCCATTTATTCCTGTTACAAACTCGCCAAACCTGTGCCCCTCATTGAACTTACCAACCTCACTCATGCCGCAACAATTCGTGCCATCACAGTAAACGCGGCACTAGCGCTTCTGTTGCGCACAAGCTTTTACAGCCCAGTCATGGTCACCACAGTCCGCCGCTGCTCCAACACCAGCTGCCACATCGCCAAAGGAAGAAATGGCTTGTCTTTTTGTTTGGTTCTCTTTGACTCCTTCCACACACTGGCTGAGCGCTTGAGAGAAACACTTTGTTGGGATGCAAGGGTGCATCATCCCGAGTCTTGTAAAGAAGTATTCCTTATGGTGTGCAATGTTCTTTTCAAGCATGTGCTGACAACTTCGTGCAAGTATGGAGTGAACATGTGCAGAATTTTTTTTATTTGGGCGTAAATTATTGTTCAAACATGCACCACCCTGGGTGTGTATGTATTTTTCTGCATAAAACAAGACTGCGGAGTTCTCCTAAAAGGTAGGATGGTTTGCTCGACAATTATTTGTCGAGTAGAACTATTTCGGAATGGTCTGCCTTTATATTGAACATAATTGCTTTCACACAAATTATTTTGCCTAGAGCAGGGGTCTCAAGCATGCGGCCTACGACTCGCTGGGACGCGGCCAGTAGAAAACCAGCTGCATTTCCCAATTCCCATGTCTTGAGCGCGACATGAAATCATTATGGCATGCGTCATAATGATCTCGTGTCGCTGACAGTTATGGGCACAATACTGCTAAAGAGTAACTGTTACTGTTACAGTTACTCAGGGGAAAAGTAACCCTGTTATCGTTACAACGATTGAAAGGTTAACTTGTTAGTTACTGCAAAAAAATAATGCCATTACTTATCAAAAATTAATAAAAACATTCAAAAGGTACCTCCATTATTAGCCTTTCAAATAGTGTAGATTTTTGATAAAATATGTTCTTCACAATAATGAATTTTGCTTTTGAAGAAACTACGGTTTCCACATTTGTAAATATATTCATACGTTTGGTCCATCCTATTTCAATTTTCCATAAATAGAACCCTGAATTATCATAATTTAGAGCAATATTTAGCTTAGCTCACAGCGTGACTAGACATCGGTAAAGAATTTAGTTTTTTCTTAGGAAAAATTAGAAACAACTTTCATTCTTGACAATGGAGAGCCAGCTAGTGCCAGCAAACAGCCATGTCCTTCATCCCTATCACTCACATAGAAAAAACTTGAAAATAATCGCAATCACCATAAGGTTTAGATGCGCACCTGGACCTCTATGCTTGGGTACATCCAAACATGGTGTGAATTTAGGTCAGTCAACCGTAACTTAGGATTTCTTCAAGAATACATCAAACGACGAAGAAAAAAAAAAAAAAAAATCTTGCACACGTGAGGTAAAAAAGTAATGTAAGTTATACATTGCAGTTAGCTTTGTAGATGGTCTCTTAAGCCACTCGATCCACTTAAGCCACTCGATCCACTCTTAAGCCACTCGATCCATCATATGGCAGCGGAGTAAAGAAAGCTCTTACCCAGGTACAAACTATCGCTGCGTCTAGACATCCAATTGACTGTTGCAATCTAGCTTGACATAATTTCCTTCAACTAACCAGACCGGGCACGTCTGCACTATCCCACCACCGCAACTAGAAGGGACCACTAGGAGAGCCCACGACACAGACATTGATAAATCAACGGATGCCAAATGCCCCTGGCCCTAGTTAAGGGGACACATCCCCTAGGAGGGTCAACTTCTGAACCCTTGGTTTAAAATTAATGAAATTTACAGGGTACTTGTGTTCTAGTTATTTCTAAAGTTCAAGCTGATATATTTACAAGTATGTACCAACAAGCTCAACTCTTAACCGTTATTTACAGGGTAGGCTGGTGGTCATGGTAGTGGGTGCATAACAAAATTTCAGGTGTCGGTTCAATGGGAAGGAAATTAGAGCAGCTTCTATCAGCAACACGCCTACATTGTTTAGTTAATTTATCGTTGGAAAACTATCACAATATTCAAGATTTCTATTCGCTAGATATGTAGCAGAATGCCTAGGGGATGTGGCTATGGAAAGTATTTTGTCAAAAATAATTATTTCTATAAATTTTCTTTCCTGCAAAATTGGTCAACTTTTTAGTCTTCCGTGTCTTCGACAAAATGTCAACATTTTTTATAGAAGACATCTGTAAAGTGACAAAAAGATTCCTAGCTGCATTCCTTATTGAATTTCAGTCAGGAAAAGTGAAGAATGAGCCTTCCCTGTATTGCCATTATGAAACGATAGATTGACTAAAATGGAATTTATACCAAAAAGTGGAACGGAGAAAAATGCATTCAAAGTGCTCCAACCCTACCTTTTCATCAGCTTTGGTGAACAGAAAATAATTTATAAAATTAACTATCCAGGGGGGACACTACCCAAAGACGTGAATGTTTGAACCACTTGTCTGATTTAAATGACATTTACAGGGTTCGTTTCTGTTGATGTTGAGAACAGTTGTGCCAAATTTTGTTAACCTGGATGAAGTACAAAAAAAATTGCAAATGTTCAAAGATGAAACTGGGCGTGTCTGTGTAGAAAAACTATCTTTGTGAAATTACTTACAAATTTGTAGTTTCCATGAGTTAATATTGCTTTAGGACAGTTGAGAGCAAATAGCTATGGAGCTATATTTCTAGATTATACAGTCATGTCTCGTCAATATGGACCCCGTCATATGGAAACCCCGCTATATGGACACCACTTTCGGGGACAAACTGGGAAAATACATTCATTTTTGTCTCATTAATAGGGACAACTCACATTACCGACGATTCTCTGGGGGAACAGAGGCGTCTATATTAACGAGACATCACTGCACCATCTTTCATGACAAAAAAGTCACATAAACACAAATACAGTTTTTTTTAGATTTCCATCTTTAGTCCAAAATTTTAGTTCTTGAGCATGAAAAATGACAAAAATGAAAATACAAGCTCATAGTTATCTTCCCCTTATAATTTCGCCCCAGAAAAGCTAATAAAAATGAACCAAAGTTACGTAATAACAAACAATAGTTTTCCTAAAGGGAAATTTATGCCAAAAAGTGAAATGGAGAAAAATGCATTCAAAGTGCTCCAACCTCTACCTTTTCTATACCATCGGTGGACAGAAAATAGTTTACAAAAAATTAACTATGCAGTGCAAACTAATGAAACTTTCTGGGAATACTCTCTTGATGTTGGTGGATGTAAATACACATGACATTTTTCAAACCCAACTTTTTTTGGCAGAAATTGTTTTTTCTGGGTAGTGTCCCCCCCTTAAGGGTGGTCTTTCAATTTCAGAAAAACACACAAAAAGTCAGAACGACTCAGATGTTTCAAACGAATGCTCCTCCTCAAGTGACGGGACTTGGCATGCAGAGAAATGGGCAACAAGATGGTGATAAATGGGAGAGGAGGCTAGGCCGGTAATTGGCTTGTAAAAAAGGGAAGACAGGTGGGGTGGGGGAATAGAGTCAGAAGTCGAGACCCACAGAAGTGCATCTGGGAGTTGGACGATTCCAATAAGAGGGAAACATATGCTTAGCACCAAAAAATACAAGGTCTGGAAAATCAGCTGTGCCATAACTCACGGGCGTTTGGGTGACAATCACACAAAAAAAATTCGAAAAAAAAGAAAACTCAAACCAAAAGTTTAGAAACAAAGAGAAGGAGTCAAGTCGACCCCGAAA